GGGTCTCAAACCTGCGGACTCAGGCAATCCACTCACCTCAGCCTCCCAAAGGCGCAGGATTACAGGCTGAGCCACCGAGCCCAGCTTGACCTTTGGTATTAAATCAATTATGAGATGTAAGCAAAAACACCAATAACTTTGCAAAATATGGAGAGCATTTTGCTGGGAGCCAGTGAAAACACAGGTTTTAGGCTCTGGGTCAAGAAGATTGAAGTAAGTGTGCCTTGTGGTGCACCTTAGGGGACACTCTGAGAGACTCTGGGAGTTTTCACAGCAGAGTGAAGTCACACAAAACCATCCATGGTGAATCTTTCTGCAAAAAACTACTCAATGTGCATTCCCTTTTCCCCAGAAAGTCAAGGCCATCCAGCCAAAGTTTGGGTGGGTTCACTGACTCTGACCAGGCCTTTCCAGGTATCCCCACTGTCTGTCTGCAGGAGGCCAGGGCAGCACAGGCTGAGGGTGGAGCAAATAGAAAAACAGTTTGTTGCTAAGAACCAAGCTGTGTTTGCAGAAGGAACTTCACTTCCTCAAGATATTCTCCAATCACTCTGGACATCTGTGCCTCCAGCTTTCAGGGCTGAGGCAAATCTTGTCACTTCTCCCAACCAGACGAAGGCCTGGTTTCTGGGGCAGGTGGACTCCAGTCTATAACAGAAGGCTCTCTACAGAGAAGAACAGTAACTACAGGAATAAGGATGCTGCCCTGGCTCCTGCAGGCAGGACCACGGTTTCCAAAAGGCTGCAGCATCCAGAGAAGGTTGGGAATGGGCCACAGGAGCCCGAGCCCTGAGTGCAGCCAGGGAACAGTCCAGAAGTTAAAGTCAGTGCTAATACCAACAGGGCGGTGGGCTTCTCCGCAGGCAGGAAGCAGCACCAACACAGCAGCCATCTGCAGGCAGCTCAGGTTTCCACCACTCGGATGACAGGCATGGGCTTCGGGCTGGGGGGCTTGGATATCCTAATACTGTCAGGGTTCTCTGTCTTGGCCCGGGCCTGGGTGCTGAAGTTGCCATGACTGATTTGTTTTTGAATCAGGTGTTCCATCCGGTCATGCATCTCTAAATTCTCTGCCTCCAGATAGGCGATTTTCTCCTTGAGCTCCTGGATGGTGGTGTTCTTCAACTGGATCACGGCTTTCGAATTCTGGAGCTGTTCGATCATCTGCCGGACTTTCCGCTGCTGCCTCTTGAGCATGTCATCCAAGTGATGGATCTTCTCCCGCAAGCCAGCCACTTCCTTTTCCAGGGTAGCAGCCTTCTCTTGTTCTGCTTGGCAGTCAGCGTTCTTGCTCCAAAGTTCCTCCAGGGCCATCTCCCCTTCCCTGACTTTCACCAGTAAAGCCTGTTGCTCCGTCTCCATCCCCAACAGATGTCTCTGCAGCTCCCCAACTTCTGCCTCTTTCTGCTCCACTCTGTCCTCCTCTCTCTGAAGGGCCACATTACTCTGTTCTGCTTCTCTCTGGTACCGGCTTAATGTGACCTCAAAAGCCACACGGTCTGACCGGTGTTGCTGCTCAGCCTCCTGCAGCTTGGCAAGCAAGTCTTGCACAGTGTTCCTCAGGCTCTCAACATCCTCATTTACATAGGCGTCCACCTCAGGTGGGCTGCTGTACAGGGTTGGAGAACTCTGGCTAAAGCCATTTGGCTTTTCTAGCACCACCTGTATCTCCTGTTGATGGAGAGAATCTCCTGGATCCCTGTCAAGCTTGCTACTTATATCCTCCCGGAGCTTCTGCAGACAGTTCCTGGCCTCCTGGATATACTGGACCTCACTCTTCAGCTGGTTAATGTTCTTCTCGTGGGTCATTCTGTCTCCAGACCTCCCTTTCAAGTATACCTTAATGATCTCCTCATGACCATCATGGGACTCCACCAGTTCTGAGGCTAGAGAATGGCCAGCTGAGTGGCCAGACACCACGGCATAGGTCTTCCTGCCCGCCGAGGTCTGATCCTCCGGGTGCACGTCTACTAGGGTACACCAGCTCCGCATCCCGTTCATCTTTCTCCCGCGGGGTCGCAGTACAGGTCCCGCCCATCTTCCCGGAGGTCCGGTTCCAAATAGGCCAAATTTTTTTTTCACTGTTTGCTTGTTAGTTCATCTATTTTACAAATATTTTTCCTTTGTGCATGAATGTGTATGTGAGGGTTTGATCTGCATCCCCCCCAAAATTTTTCTTTTATTTTTCTGTTTCTTTCTTCTTTTATTTGTCATTTTCTATTTATGTGTGTATGTGAATGATTGAGTGTTTATCTTTTGATTCTGTTGTGGTTGTTGGTTTTTGTTCTTTTGTACTTCTGGGTCGTTTTTATATGCATTTTTTATAGTTTAAGGGGTATGTCAATAGATGTGTGAGGGTTTGACCTGAGTTCTCCCTTCCTGCCCCCCATTCGGTCTTTCTGCTTTTCTTCTCTATTTACTTTGTGCTAAAAGTGTGTGTGTGTGTTTAGGTTTCTTTGGGGTCTTTTTGCTGCTGATTGTTTTGTTTCACTTTGTTGTTATTACAGTTTGTTTTGGAGTGTGTGTGTATGTGTTCAATTGCTTTTGCATGGGTTTCTGCTTAGCATCGTCATATAAAGTGGTAGTGGGGAGTTGGTCTCAGGAAACAAACACCACAATAAGTGAACATTTAAATTTGCAAGTAGTACCTGAGTCCCAGCACCCCATCCCCCACTTTATTCAAATTTCAAAAACTACAAGAGACAACAAAGCTTCCCATTCACCATCCTATTTCAAAATAGAACATATCCAGAGCCCAGATCAGGGAAGAATAGACGTCCAAGCAAATGTTGGAAGGGAAATCTCTCCCACTGACACTGAATAACAGAACTAAAGAGAAAAACAATAGATCTGTCACAAATGAGGAAAAGCCAAAGGAAGACCTCAGGCAATTTCAAGT